CAGGAAGAAAGGCATGTTCTCTCTAACAAAGAAGCAAACACTGCAGGAAGAAAGACCTGTTCCATTTAACAAAGGAGCAGAAACTAGCAGGAAGAAAGACCTGTTCCATTTAACAAAGGAGCAGAAACTATATGAAGAAAGACATGTTCCATTTAACAAAGGAGCAGAAACTGTAGGAAGAAAGACTTGTTCCATTTAACAAAGGAGCAGAAACTGTAGGAAGAAAGAGCTTTCCCCTCTAAAAAGGAGGAGAAACTACAGAAAAGGAAATCCGTTTACCAAATAAAACGCTAGACGCAACCTCAATTTTTTGTTGTATCAATGTATGGAAGCCACTCTGTTTGATCTGGTAAAAATAAAAAAACAAACAATCTTATGGTAGTATCCGAGAGGGTTGACCCAATAGTTCATAAGGTAAACAACCTTATTGTAGTATCCGAGAGGGTTGACCCAATAGTTCAGAAGGTAAACAACCTTATTGTAGTATCCGAGAGGGTTGACCCAATAGTTCAGAAGGTAAACAACCTTATGGTAGTATCCGAGAGGGTTAACCCAACAGTTCAGAAGGTAAACAATCTTATGGTAGTATCCGAGAGGCTTGACCTAACAGTTCAGAAAATAAACAATCTTATGGTAGTATCCGAGAGGGTTGACCCAATAGTTCAGAAAATAAACAATCTTATGGTAGTATCCGAGAGGGTTAACCCAACAGTTCAGAAGGTAAACAATCTTATGGTAGTATCTGAGAGGGTTGATCCAATAGTTCAGAAGCTAATTGAGGGCCAAATGCGCTAGCCGTCCCTAATTTAGGAATGATAGATAAGAGGGAAGACAGCAAATCAACACTACCCAGCGCCAAATCTTGGGCTACTCTTTTACCAACGAACAGTGGGATTGACCGTCACTTTATAATGCCCCCACGACGGAAGAGCGAGCATATTCGGTGTTGGGGATTCGAACCCGTAGATTGCGAGTCGAGCGCCATAACCACCAGGCCATAGAAAAAGTTAACATTGTAATAGAGTTAGTTCCACTGATTGATTTCAGGTGAAGCTACATAGCGTTGAACAGTTGAAAAATCGACTGGAATTCTTCCCGTGTGTGAGTCAGATTAACTTTTGTAATTCGTTTGGCCTAGATTCCGTAAACGTAATGCACACGTAATAACCCCAAAAGCCGTCAGTGTCGAATGAAACCAGTTTCGTCGATTTCTCATGGGCAACTCTACATTGCAAAGAACAGTTGAACATAAATAAATATTTTTTAACTCAGTAAAAACTTCAACTTTTGACGAGTGTGAAGGATGTTATATATTTACAATATGTAAGCCCACGGGACATGGTTGACAAAAACAATCAGATTTAGACGGGATATGGTTGACAAAAATAATCAAATTTAGATGGGATATGGTTGACAAAAACAATCAAATTTAGACTGGATATGGTTGACGAAAACAATCACATTTAGACGGGATATGGTTGACAAAACAATCAAATTTAGACGGGATATGGTTGACAAAAACAATCAGCTTTAGACAAGTCTAGGGGCGTAGGTTGGCTCTGAGGTAGATCTCTTGATTTCAGAGCTTTTAAGAGTGACAGTCCCCCCTTAGCTTGGATAGTGGGTGGTATATTTACAGGGTTCTACTTGACTGTCTGTCTTTCCTTTGATCACAGTTAGGGACGGCGATAGATAGATTTAGTAGTTTTGTTATAAATGCAAAAAATATTTTATCCTAGATAAACACATTTCTAGATATAAAAAAAATTCTACTGTATATTTCTAACAAAAATTGTTTGAAATAGAACTGAAACTCAACGAAATCAATGGGTATCAGTAAAGGCTCCTATTTTTCTTATACAGTATAAACAAGGAAAGGTGTATAGTTCAGTGTTAGTATTTGTGTGCTTAGCAGAACTTTTCCTGAGGATTTTGTCAACTGCACAATTGTATATTAACGTCATCACTTAAAAAAAAAACATGACGTTTTATTGCACCTCACATATACAGGCCTAGTAACAGATGATCCGCCCCCAGTGGCTCAGCGGAATGTCTGCGGACTTATACCAGTAGAAAGCGGGTTTCGATACCCGTGGTTGGCAGAGCACAGAATAGCCTTTATGTAGCTTTGTGCTTCATAACGACCAACAACAACAAATGATCCAAAAAAAAGGATGAATATTCTAGTAAATACCTTTATTTATCACCTGTGGGATGGAATTTTATCATTTTAAATCTGTTTTTTATGTTTAATATTTATCCACTTGAACTTACTTATATAGATAAATTCTATACTACATAAATATTTTCACAGGAGCACAGATTGTGATCAACTGCTCGCTAAGAAAACTCTTGGGGTTTAGATAATTATGCAATATCGAATTTCACTTTTGTAACCATGTTTTAGGTACGTATATGACTTTCGAATGTTTTCACGAGTTACTTCGCGGTTGTGAATCTAACGTTACTTGTTTGTTTGTTCAATTTCGCGCAAAGACAATCGAGGTCCATCTATGATAGCCTTCCCTAATTTATAAGTGATTCGCCACTTCTCACTGAGTTACTGGTTTCTAGGAATTCCACCCTTCTTCAGTAACCCTGGCCACGATAAATCGAAAGAACAAGTCCAGGTT